AATAATCCAATAAATTATCATTTACAAATTCTGTTAAACATGAAATACAACCAATGATGAAAAACCAATCTATTCAAAAAATCACAGGTATCCATTCATTATTAAAGACGAGGTTAACAGACAAATTAAAAACATGCTTGACAACAACATTATTAAACTCTCTCAGAGTCCCTTTTCTCCACCTATCTGATAGTATCAAAGAAAATCGATGCATTCGGGACAAAAAAAATGGAGACTAATTGTTGGTTATAGGGAAATTAAATTACACAACTGTCGATGACTGTTATCCAATTCCGAATATTAATGAGATTCTCGATAGACTAGGCAGTTCTTCATATTTTTCATCAATTGATTTGGCCTCAGGATTTCATCAAATCGAAATGCATCCAAATTCAGTTGAAAAAACTGCCTTCACAGTTAATAACGGTCACTTCGAATTCAATAGAATGCCTTTGAAAAATATGCTCCTGCAACATTCCAACGTTGTGTGCATACCGTTCTTAGTGATTTACAGAATATAATCTGCATTTTCACACGGATTACAAGAACATCTCCAAAATCTACAATTATTATTTGACTAAAAATCCAACTAAATAAATCAGAATTTTAAAGAAAAAAAGTTAATTTCTTAGGGCACACGATTACTAAAAATAGAATAAAATCTAATCCAGTCAAAATCAAAGCAATACAAGACATTCCATTACCATAAAGTACAAACAAAATTAAATCCTTTTTAGGATATTAGGATATAAAGAATGCACTCGTCCCACAGGAATTACAATCAACTGTAAAATAATCTGTCTCAGTTGATACAACATTAAAAGTGCGTGTAGGAAAGAAAACTCTTCTACTATATTCTCCGCTCGAGACTACGGATGGCTAAAGGAATTCTTGAAATTTTCCCCTAAATGTAAGCCAGATTTTCTTGAACTTGGAGATCTATGAAAGCTTGCTGAACAAGCGAAATGGCAACTGCATCGTTAACATTTAGTTGTACTACTTTTTTACTTTCTCAAAATTTGTGTAGTAGTAAGATGCAGCCTGTATCCAGGTACCTCACCGCGTCAAAATAGGCTCTGATTTCTAGATCTGAGCGTTTAGTGGTAGTGGACACAGTTCGCTCGATCGATATTTGTAAACAAAATATGATATATTATTTTACTAATCTGCCGGTATATTAAAGTGCGTACATAAACTGTCGTAAAATCATCTGATACAAAACTGTAACTTTCTACACACATTTCTGGTTTTATAAATTAAAAAAAATAAATAACAATTGACGTTGTATGGAAAATTTGTCACCGAATTCACGTTGTATGGAAAATTTGTCACCTGGTGCCCGAATTGTCATATAACATAAGATACATTATTCTTATGCCTAAAATAAAAGTTAACTATCCCACGGTATGTTTGTAGATTATGTTCAAGCTTACCTTAACTCCATTTCGTAACAATTCTTTTGCATACCGCAAACCGATACCCGAAGCTCCTCCAGTGATAAGAGCAACTTTTCCTGCGAAACTAAAAGCCATTCTTAAACGTAAGATCGAGAGATCACTTTGGTTTGGATAGATTGTGTAATAATTTGATTTCTAAATTCAGATATACAGTTTGACTTTGCCTACAATCACATATCAGAAACATTATCAGTAGTATGATGATATGCAAATTTTACTATTTATTTATGCGATAAGATAAAATAATATTATTTCTCCAGCGGCGCGGCGGCTAGTGAAATATATGTTATGTGATATCTTAATATTGGAGCATGTGACCTAGGCGATATTTTAAGGCAACTATCAAGACTAAATAAAGTTTTGCAAAAAAAAATTGCAACTAAAATTTGCGAAAAAAAACTTGAAGAAATTGTGTGCCTCACCAAATTATTTTTCAAGCAATTTGTAAAATATTTGCAAAAATTTATTTCCAAAATCAAATGGAAAATATAACGACAAATTTCAAATTTTATCAAAAAATATATTTAAACCGTATTTAAACATATAATCAAGAGTACACTAACTAAATTATAGAATAATCTAAATTATTTTAACTGTAATAACATGACATGACATGACAAGCGTATAATTTTATGTAAAAATTACTCTCTTACTGATATGTAATCAATGACCAATTATGATAAAGCAAACAGAAAAATTCTCATAAAATTCCTTTTATTAGTGTGACCGGTTTCGTGAACAAGTAAATTACTTCACGAAACCGGTCACACTAATAAAAGGAATTTTATGAGAATTTTTCTGTTTGCTTTATCATGAATAATTACTCATATGGGATTAACACCTACCTAAATTAGCAATTATTTTGAGAGTATAAAAAGGATCAATTATTGCAGTATTTTCTAAAATTATATGTTATGTGAGCTGTGGACTGTATAATAGAAATTCGTAGATATTTAATTTTTACTTTCTTTCCTAATATAAGGAAGTGTAGTAATCCTGACATTTTTTCGACCTCGAGATTTTGATTGATATATACGTTTTGAACACTCCTGAATCCATTCCGACTATTTTCCGAATGTGTCTGTCGGTCAATGTGTGTGTGTATGTGTGTGACGAATTATAATGAAAAAACATAACTTTATGGAAAAAATGTCTGTCTGCATGTCTGTAGTATCGCGATAGCAGCCACAGTTTTTGAAATAAAGCACACGTGTTCTAAAAGCCAAAGACAATGATAAATTCGGTGATGAGCAAAATTGGCCAGCTGAAAGGTGGTCCACAGGACCCAAACTTTTTTATATTTGTCTTTAAAAAAATACTATTCTTGATGAAAGATTATAAATCATATCTACTATATCAAGCAAGTAAAATTAGGATGATATATACTGGTATAAGAAAGTTATGTGCTGGACACATCAGATATTTTTTTCTAAAAACATCAGTTTGGGGGCGCGCTTGTTTTTTCAGTCTACAATGCCCATATTTTACCATGAACTGGTCTGCATTCAGAAATTTTGGTACTATAAAGCTCTTAAAATCACCGAAAACATCACAAGAAAACTGCACAAGCTCTACTTCCTATTGTTATAAGCATAACATATTACATTCATAGAAAATAGTTATATAAGTATTATATTGTAAAACTGTAAATGATACTCTGTTGTAATATAACCAGTTAGGCTGAGTGAGAAATAGTAACATTAGCCCCATAACATTATTTATGAATTTTGCATAACCTGTTACTTTAGAAAGTGACTACGTTATATAACAAAAATATTTTAAATATATAACACTGTCTGCTAGGAATGAATTATACTTTTAAGAAACTTTATGGCATAAAATAATTACAAAAACTTTACACAGAAAATCGTTCCTCAGAGACGGATATGTTTTCACATATTATGTCCATAGTGAAAAATAAAAATGAATATAAACATAATTTACCTCACATTTTAGTATGTTATCTATAAAAACTATAGACTATGTTTTAACAGTGATATTTGTAATAGTATATTACAATATAAGACAGTTATAGAGGATTTAACATGCGAGTATAGCGAGCTCACTTATCCATGTGAGCATGTTAAACTCTATAACGATCGAATATTGTACAACGTTTTATGTTATCCTGAAGCTCTTTTCATCCAAAAGCGAGAGAACAAACAAATAAATTTTGTTAATTCTTATGATGGTTATTGGTAAAGGTGAAAATCTAGTTGCATTTTTGACAAGCAATGGTGTTTTCACCTGAAATAATAAATGTATCGGTAAAAATCAAAATATATCGGTAAAAGTTTTTACCAGTCCAGCCTGTTATGAATATTTTTACCAGTAAAGGGTGATTATTGTTAAACGGTATTTACAGTTCAGGATAACATAAAAGTATAGAAAATAATAATTAGCAATTTTTGTTATTGTTACCAAGAAGGTACCTAATGACCCTATTCATAGTCTATCCTCAAGGCTCCAAATAGCACTTAAGAAACCGTTTGCATCTGAATTAATACCTTGTTTCTGAGGGCAATTATTCTATAAGGGCCTTGCAAAATATATACCCTTAATGAAAAGGTCTGCGCACGCCTGTGTTTGAAATTACAATAAAACAAGATATAATAAAAATATTATTTTATCAGTTTAATATAGAAATTATTTTCTCTCCATTGTTTCCTTTTCTGGCACAATATACTGATATGCTGGTTCTCCTCCTTCTACTACCCAAATAGTTCCATTTTGAGCAGTTTTAATAACTTCTATCACTTCTGTTGCGAGACGTTCAGGTCTATAAATAAAAAAACATTATTATTATTATTTATAGAAATAAAAAACATAAATAAGAAATTTAACGATATTTTGCACAATTATTTTTTAATTTCTTTATGTTCATATATTCAATTGCGATTTTATAACACATGTTAATAGTAAGATGAAGTAATCTTATAAACGGCTAATAAAATGTTTACTGAATATTGCGCATATTTTGACCAATTTTGATCTTGAATAATTCTGGAACGAAACCCTGTATAACAAGGTGAAAAATTCAACAACAATGATTGCATTCATCCGAGCAGATCGCTACTAGAGCGGTCATGAATCGGTCGATCGAACGGCACTATTCGAACTCAGCCTTCAAGAAGCGGTCGCCATTTTTTGTAGCAAACAAAAATTGTGCTCAGTGGTCAACTGATCAGTGATCAGTTATAGTTGGAGGCCAAATTTAGTAAAAACACTACATTTCTATTTCTGGTATTATCTATATTATCAACAAATGAGAAAAAGATATTTTGTTATTAATATTAGAAAAAGATAAAATAAATGGTTCATATTAATATGGTCAATATTAGTTCTGAAAACTGTATTTTAGTTGAATGTCATCAGCATACATGTATAAGATTGATCGTAATGTATCTTAAAATAACCGCAATAAAACTTTAAACAAATTAGTGGTCCTAATATAGACTCTTGTGGCACAACTGAGTTAACTGATCTACATTGTGAAGTTAGTATCACAGTTCCTGTATTAATATTGGTATACTGATATCTCCTATCTTGGTCGGCTCAATGGTTCAGTGCTTATTCGTTGGGCTTGAAACCAAGGGATCTCAGGTTCGAATCCTGGCTATGACCATGGATATATAGTGGCTTCTTCAAATACCAAGACGATGGCACGGTTGACTTGTAGTTGTTTTGTAGCAGAACACCGCCTAGTTACTCTCTGTCACTCCTGAGTTCGAGTCGCAGCTGCGGCAAATGTCGGAATTGTTTTGTGTGTGTGTGTGTGCGTGCGTGTGCGCGTGTGTGCGCGCGTGTGTGTGCGCGTGTGTGCGTATGCGTGTATGCGTAGTGCGTGTGTGTGAGCGGGTGTGCGTGCGTGTATGTGGTGTAATATCAATTTGACTAAACTCTGCCATGACGTTAATATAAAAAATACGATAAAAAATATATATTAGTAGTAGCGTAGAAGTACTGAAACCTTTCTGATATCCGGACTGATTAGAAGAAATTATTGAGTTAACAGACACATTGAAATAGTTTTTTAAAGTTGCTTCTGAAATTTTTAATGGAATTGAAAGCATGCTAATAGGACGCAGACCTTGCTGTTACTCAGGATTTTTTTCTTAGATATAGACGTTTTGTTTTCTTTTGTTTTCTTTTCAATAAACCAGTAATTATTGAAAATATAGATATCTACGTTTTCAATAGTTACTAGTTTAAATGTAAATGTAATGTCGGTAATGAATTTTGTTTCATAGAATATATTGTTATATTGTTCATTAGATATTAAATTGGGTACGGAATCTATAAAATAATTATTGATATTATCAGCATTGCATAATTCCTCAGATAGATTTAGTGGATATTATCCTTTATAATTCCCAATGATTTTGAGTTGGACCACATTTCTTTTGAATTGTCTTTAGAGGTATCACCATAAAAAGAATAAAAAGCAGTATTTTGTTGAATGATAGCATTATTATAATAGTTACGACCTTCACAATAGTACGATCTATGTGTACATCTAGTTTTCTTATATTTTAACCAAGTTTTTATTTTAATATTTTTTAACCGATGTAAAGCATTTTGTAGGTAAGTGAATAATAATCATACACACAACAATATTTACAGTGGATATTTTTTTGTGGCATAGTTTGCTACAAACAAATAAAAATTTACAAAAATATCCAAAGTAAACAAAACCGACTGGTCGTCTTCTACTAGGTCATGGTTTATCCAGCAGATGGTGTCGAGATTTTTGGACTCGTCAATCGGTACTAGTATTTCTGTAGCTCAACATGATGAGTATCAAATCAATACTGGTATTATTAATAAAATTCCAAATTAAATATTTAGAATGAAAATTATATGAAAAAAATAAAAGAAGGTACATTATATGCTTTTAAGTTCCAGATGTATGCTTCAATTTTTACAGAGGACATATTGTATTTAGGCATTTTTTGAAATACTTACAGTTGAGTGGGCCAGGAAGGCATATTATCTTGTAACCATTTATCATATGGTTCTCCCAAGTTCCTACCAAGCGCATTAAATATTAAAGGTGTCTCAGTTACGCCTGGGCAAATAGCGATCACCCTGACTTTGCTCCTGTCGTAATGATAGTCCGTGCCCCAGCTTCTTGTCATAGCAATCACAGCAGCTTTTGTACCACAATATATAGGAATACATGGGTACACGCCAATCCCGGCTATGGAGGAAATGTTGACTATCACGGCATCTGTTCCTTGTTTTTGTAAATAATTATCCAAGCCTAAAATCATTCCATGGACCACTCCATTCTAAATAAGAAAATTTTAAAGATTTTATTTTCATTGTTATTATTTCAAACTGATTGTATTAATCTTAACAATTATTATTTTTTAAATATCTTCATGGTCGAACTGTAAGGACACTTGCCCCTCAACCCAGAGTCCCTGATTTGATTCTCGCAAAGAGGTGAGGATTTTTTCTAAAGCAGGAAATAATTGATGTCTTTGTGACTTTAAATGTGTAGCCCAATCGTACGAGCAGTCGTTTTATATTCTCGGATTGGGCAGTTTTAAATTTTGACATAATTTTCCATTAAGTTTTTTTTAATCACATATGCCTTGGAAACTTGTATATCAATGTAAGAACAATGCAACATTATAAATTTCATTAACTGTCAGTGTTGTCGCGCATTGTTAATTTCTCAAAATGGATAAAATCAAATACAGTGCTATTATAAAATTTCTTACAGAACAAGGAAAAACTTCAGAAATTATTCTTGAAGAAATGTTGGTTGTGTACGGAAATGCGAATGGTCATAACTGTTTAAATATAGTCAAGAATCATTGGTTGATGATCCCCGTTCAGGTTGCCTGTTGGCATGATTACTTCAGATGTTGTTGAAAGAACCCAGTGTTGTACTATAATATGCAATTAGCAGCTTAATTAGGAGTTTCAGAAATCACGGTTTTCAAAATTCTAGATTACTACCTCGAACTGACAAAAGTTAATGCAAGACGGGTTCCGCGAGTGCTTTCGCCATTCCATTTAAAGTTAAAAAGATATTTCGAAATTATTCGATCTTTCAAAGTGAAGGAGAAAATTCTAAATTTATATCTATTCCATACGGTCCTTGATTCATCCGTGGTATTATTGGCAAGAATTTTAAAGATATAGGTACGATAATGATTCATTCATTGGGAAATAAACTACAAAAACTTTTAGGCAATTGCAAATTGAAACAGACTAAAAGTCGGGGATTTACGAAATTATCTGCAAGGCCTGTAATCGAAAATATGTTGGATAAACTAGACGATCAATTCAAACTAGATTCAAGAAGCATACCCAAGTAACAATTTTAGTTTTAAAATGCTCTATAAGATATCCTTAAAGCTTATTTCCTAGGCTACTTATAAACGTAAATATTCTGAAAGTACTCCATAACACTTATTTAAAACCCTTATAAGAGTACAGGGGCCCACCTAGAGAAGGGCCAAATGCCTCCTTTTAAAACTATTGTTAAAACTTTCAAGTTTTAACAAATTGTCCAAATCTTTACTCATATCGTATCTGAAGCGTATTATAAAACCATACTTGGTTTAGGATAAGTACCATATTAAAACATAAATACAAATAAATCTAGTGCTATGCTCACTTGATCCATACACGATATTGTATATGGACCTCATGCATTGTTATAACATGAACTTTTGGCGACAACTGAGAACCAATCAGCTTATAGATGTACTTATTAAATATGATTTGAACGAAACAACTACTCAGCGGGCAAAAACCCCGACCTGCATTGGATTATACCTTCAAATCATGATAGATCGGTAGCCAATATCATTTGTCAATTCCTAACCAGACATAGACCCGTTTCGAACTTATTAGTTCTCCTCAGTATGCCATGGGTTATGGAACAGACAAATGATAGTGGCCAACCTGCTAGTCATATACTGACTAAGGTAAATTGAGTAGTGGTGAGAGGTATGTGAAACTTCTCATATGGTCCAAATGCTACTATCCGACCGACATCATAGATGTCTCTGTGGCGGATAGCGATTTGCGAAAGTACCGAGAGCGGCGACCTCTAGCCCAGGTGGACTAAACTACTGTTATTAAATATGTACTTATAATGAAGTATTAGGACTCCTCATAGTGGTCTAACATTTTCAATGACGCACAGTGGACGGAAACGCCAAAAGCTGGCCAAAATTAAAAAAACAAATTTTTTTTTTAAATGGAAACATTTTAAATCGTTGTAGTGTACCCATACATTAGAAACACCGTTAAACGGTCCTTTCACTACCTACGAGAAATACTTATTTCGACCGTCACCTCCTTCGCACTCCAACCTTCAAAAACATAAATTTGTCTCACGTAAAAATTTTCAAAGTCAGTTTTCTGTGTCATAAAAATGGATTCTGCATCAGAAAGTAAGTACAATTAAAATATCTCTATCAATCAGTTATTTATTGGTAATAGTAAAATCAATGATATTTTTTTACATTCATAATTCCACAAAGAAATGTTCCGGTTGGTGATGTTGGTTTGAAACTTATTGGATTTCAATGAAATTTTTTCGAAATGTATAAAAAATTATCATTTTTGCATTTCAAATATTACCAATGTCCGAATGCACGGATCATCACATTCACCATAAAGGGATCCTTTGAATCCATGATAATTAATAGTAATTGAATAAAATTAATTTTCAAAGTCATTACACATTTTTTTCCATCCCCAACCTAATTTTCCCGAAACAAATGAAACACATAATCCTTCAATCAATAATAATTTGAATATATATATTTCCGAAATTTTTTTGAAATTCTATATGGGATTCTTCATTAGCGACCCAAAACTTATACAAGTTTTGTAAATCAGCGATTGGTTTTTGGTATTTTTGGGGGACTTAGGCCGCCTTTTTTTTCAAATCAACTGATTTAAGACACAAAAACACCTGTAACAATTTAGAAACTCTTTAATTTGGCCAGCTTTGTTGTCTGTGCGTAAGTTTGTAAGGCATGGATTAAATAGTTCTTAAAAATTCGTGCACTCCCTAAAAATACAAATTTTAAAAAATACATGGTAATTTTTTTTCTCGGTGACTTAAAAATAAATAAATTGTTAGCATCCGCCCATAATATAGTTCAATGTTAGTAAATTGTTTTTAGAAAATATTTCTATTAGATCAATTACATTTTTTTGTTCAATCTGAAACATTCCCAATACCGCTGACCGTTATATATCTCTTGCCGTTAGAAATAATGGCGGCAGTTTATATAAACCCTATTAGTCTTGAACAATTCTACTTCAGACATGTTTTATCTTAAAATGTATGTCCATTTGTTCTTGTAGAAGTTTTTAAGCCTCATTGGCGTTATCATATTCCTTGAAACTTGTAGACTTATCTTAAAACCCATTTTCAACCCTTTGAGCACATAAACAACCACTTTAAAATCCATAGGATTTATGGTGCACGGATAATATAACCTAAAAATTCTGTTTTTTTGTGACGCTACATACGTCTACCCACATCAGGATTAAAATAAAATGACACAAATTTTTTTAGAATATCTCAAAAACTATTGATCTGGAACAGGTAACACGTATCTTTGAACAGATACTTTCAAGCTCGG